ACATTATCTATGATTTTGGCTATTTAATGTAAGAATGCTGATAAGCTTTTGGAATGAGGCTGGTTGTAATCATAAGCAGAATATTTCTCTTCTTCAGCCCTCAGTCTCAATTTACTCAAATTTTCAGTAATCTGAGCAGCTGCAAAATATAGATGTTTTTCAAATGAGGCATCAGGCCTGCCTTTGTAATTACTGCTCTGACTACTTCATGAGTATGTGAACTCTTGACCTCCCACCTGCAGAGTTTATCAGTCCAGAGCAAAGGTCAAACTTTGTATTAAACATAATTTAATTGAACAAAATGCATAGGAAAACTCATAACACCTGAAATATTTATATTAGTTTCACTCCCCAAGGCAACAACTCAGAGTTCTGAAACATCAAACCAAGGCCAGCTGAAGAAGTAAAATGATGCCAACACACTGTCTTGGAGGATATAGCCAGAAGCACTGGGAAATAGCCCAGCAAAATCACATCACAAATGACAGCTCCATATCTATATTAAATTCAATTAATCTCAAATGAAAGACACAATGGTGTTCTTCAGCCTCTATTCAATGGGCTATTTAGGAGGTGAAGAATTGTGATGATACAGAAAAATTGCAAGGGAACTAGCAGCATTCATTATACAAGGAGGCTCCTTGTTAAGAAATTGCTAACATTTTTTCTGATGCCAGTCACATTAATCTCTTGCTCAGCTAAGAAATTAGTTAAAAATATGTTCTAATAACAGTAAATTAGGTAAGGGGTGGGTGTGAAGGAATAGTTATTCTGGATAATAAACTACGCCTGGGGTTTTTTTTAGCACTCACAGATTTCTGTCATCCTCTGTATCACAACAATAGAAGACACACCAAAAACTCTCTGTGCTAGACTCCCAACAAGTACAAAATATTTCAGAAGTGTGTTAGACATACAGTGACATGTTTATGCTGCTGAACTGTCTGGATAGGCCCCAAAAAAGCCAGTTGCTTTATGAAGGTCAGCCAGAGTACAGAGCTTTGCATGATGAAAAAAGCCACAGTTCAGTCAAAAAACAGGTGCGATTGACCTTTCTTCTCTATTGGCCTTTATCCTTTTTTTGAGATTACTTTACTTTACTGCTGTGAGGTTCTTTTTATTCTTTGGATTTTAATTCAATTCTCCTTAGGCTTGCCAGCTTCCCATTTTCTTTTTTGCATTTTTTTTTTTTTTCAGTTTAAGAATGAAGAAAGCCTATTTACCAAGCCACTGTTCCCCAAATTTTATTGCTTTATCTATAATTCAAATGTATCAGGAATGCACAATACCCAAGCAAAACTGTAAAACTTTGTGAATTTTAATTGGGTGTCTATAACAAGCTTTCCAATTACTTTGAAACTGATTATCACCCATTACGTAACACACACACATGGTTTTCACAGCTGTGCAGTAATAGAAAAATCTTAGTTTGCATCTAAGCTTAACAGTATTTAGCTGTAAACCAAATTATATTGAAAGTGTTTGATGCTGGCTGCTAGGTGAGAACTGGGTCCCTGCTAAAATGCAGAAGATATTTTGCTGCTGCTTTCCTTGCAGCCAGCACTTCAGCTTGTCACAGACTGCAAATATAAAATCTGGGCCTCTTTGCTTTTCCAATGTTCTTCTTTCACAGAAATCAATCTTACAGTCATTCAACTTTATTAGAGTTACTCTTAAATCATACTGCTGCAACAGAGAACAGAATCAGACCCAGCAATCCACTTTGCCTTCAAAATAATTAGCTGCATACTACACAGTCCCTATTTCTTTACATCTAAATGTGCTGTCTGGAGAACCTATATACTTAATTTCCACAGGTTGCAGAACAGAGTCCTTTTGTTTTATATCAAGGACTAACCTGATTAGAGAGAGCCTTATAAAGACAAAGCACCACACTTGGATAATTCATGTGCATAGAACACACATACAGACCCAACGTTATTGACCAGGCAGAGTAAGTTTTCCATTTGTCACTCTGTGCAGTTTTAAAAATAAAGTGCTATTTGTTTATGGCTAAAGCTTTTATGTGGCTATTGCATGCACACTTCAAGATGCATTGTGAAAAACTGGAGAACTTTCATCAAAAAAGGATGGAGCCTAAGCACTAGGGGAATTAAAGGTTTGGTTGATGTTTTGGTGTGTTGTGTGTTGTTTTTTTTTCATTTTATTTTGAGTTCCAACAGAACTTTTGTCAAACATAGATCATGTGAACACATAACCGTTTTTTTCACTGTTCCCCACACAGAGCTGTTCATAGAGGAGGAATACTAAGCAAGGATGTTTCTAAAGCCATAGACAGCTTCTCCATTTATTTCGTGTTTTGTTTTGTGGTTTGTTTCTTCTTTTTCATTTTTTTTCCCCACCATTTTTTTTCTATTCTTTTGTTTAATGCTAGACAAAACATTATAAGAAAAACTTCTTTAAAGTAGTGTGAATATCAAATAGTATGCATCAATCCCTGAATCATGCTATTCAAAGTGCATAAATCTACACTAAAAATAGAACAACAGAAAAGTACTCCCTATGTGGCTGAGGAAATCTACAAATTGCCTAAATGTGACTGCAGTCAGATAGTTACATCCTGCATTTATTCCAAATCCCAGTCCTTACCCCAAGGCATGTAAAGGAGAGGGAAAGGGAAAAAAAAAATAATGCATTGCTTTCAGAGGATACTGGGATATTTCATATCCAGATGAATGAAGGAAAATGCCATCAGTGCCTGACAGGTGTCTGTAAGAGCAAAGAAATAATAGCTCTCTTACACTATGAAAATAACCAGATGTGCAAAGCTCTCTTAAAATTTTATCTGGCTTGGCAGCTTCATTTCCACTGTGTGGATGTTTGGCACATGTCCAGAGGGAGACACCATAATAAAGAAAAGGACTGTAGGAAAAGACTTCAACAAATTGTCAGAGAAATAGATATTTTTAAGCAAATAAAAATCAGTCCACATCCCAAAGCTCTGTTAACTTATTATGCAGATACTGAGATTTCTTGACTTTTACAACAGGAGCATAGGAATTTCCTCCCACACTCAGTTCTGGATTGCTCCCACAAACATCTCCTAAACTGCAGTTTACCCACTGTCTACCCACCATTCTCATCAAGAAGACCAAAATATTATAAGCTCTATTTTTCTCATTGTCGCAATCAGGATGAACAAACCTCACACATCTTTTATATTGGTCGATATCATTCAGATACTATTAATATATCTAAAGCTAATTAATTACAGAAAGAAATGATATAAGGTATGTTTGCCAGGATAGCAGTTACACTTCTGCCAGGGTAAATCAAACACTTGAATATAAGACAGTGTGCGGCAAACAGTAACTCTTCCCCAGCTTCCCTGCTTCTACCAGCAGAAACTAGCAGAGAGCTTGGTCTGGATAAGGTGTAGAGCTACAACACAGCTCCTCTCTCTTTTTAAAAACAGAAAGGACTTTTCCAAAACTTAAAACGTAAGTATGATTAAGATGCTTATTTCATTTGTCTTAAAGATATCCAGCTATAAACATAGTGTTTCTTTCTTTTCTTCTCTGGCAGTCATGGTACACGCATTATTTGCAACTCCTCAAAGATAGAATCATACATTAAAAATAAAACTAATTTATTTATTCATTAAAGTGAATAAATTGTTTTCAATACTTCCAGGTCTGATTTAAATATTAATTTTGTATAAATAAATAAAGTTTATTCTGAAAACAATGATAGTTTTTGATATTTATGTCATTTTTTTCTGCCTGAGTTCTTACTGAAATAATGTTGAAATTAATAAAGTTTTACTTATCCTTACAAGCTAAAATCAAATGAAAGAAAATTTCTTAATCCTGAATATATAATTTTAAAGCAAGTACAGTTTTTTGAACATTAACATACAAGGGGACTCTGTAATCCACAGCAAAATTGCAGTTTTGCTCTTACTTTTTCAGAAAATAACACTTTCTATAATACAATCTGACAAACCATCTACAATACCATCTTCTTATTCCCCTTTGGTTTCAAAGTCACCACTGTAAATATCAGGAGGACTCTCTGCACTTCAGTGCCTATTGCCTCACTTGTCTTTCTTGCTTGACAGTCGCAAATGATCTTATTTGCAGGATTTTGAGAGGGACAAAAAGAAAAACTTAAATTCTTAAAAATAAAATCCACAACCACATTAATACTTTTTCAAGAAGTTTTAAAAATAGGTTTTGCTTTTATATTTATAAAAGAAATACAAACATTAAAAAAATAATAATTAAAAACAAACAAACAACAACAACAACAAAAAAAGACAACAACAAAAAAACCCCAAAGAAAGCAAAAACCAAACCATCTCTAGTTTCTACACACTCTGTAGTGACTACGGTGAAGCAACCAAAACCAGGCTGGGTATATTCTGTTTTTTGACAGGTATCTACCAAGTTACATGTTACATGATCAAACTGTAGTGTTACCCCAAAGGGG